ATAAAAAGAAGCCAAATGATTGGAGGAAACGTGTAAAAGGATAGATTCTCATTTTAAACCTAGTTAATGAACTCCAAGTGCCTAAGAGCATCTCCAAAAGACTCTCTATAACTTTAAATATAGAGTTTTTTGCTCTCCAAAAAGAAACTTCAAAACTTCAAATTTGAAGTTTTGGGGAGTGAAACTTCATATTTGAAGTTTCACTTCTCAAAACTTCAAATTTGAAGTTTCATCTTTTTATTTGCAATTTAATCCTTATATTTACATATCTTATTTAGGATTCTTAAGTATTTTCTTATTTATCATTTTAATCTTTACAAAATTATATCTCACAAATCTTAAATTTATTTCTATAAATTAAGCTTTACACATAAAATTAAATAAAAAATTTAAAGAAAATTTATATTATTTTAAAATTAGAATTAGACAACAAGAATATTACAAAACAAACATAATTAAAATTATTTTTTAAAAAGGTACATGAAAACCTAATTATTATAGAAATTTAAATATTACAACAACACTAATAATCTAGTAAATGAGTCCCGGAAGCTCCAAAATCTTCAAATCCAAACAAGTTTTTTTGTAATCAAAGATGGTTGTTCTAGACTTTCTTGACATCTTTTTTCGTATGATTCTTTTTTGTTCAGAACGAATGTACTCACGAGTATTAATATCACCGATTAGCAATATTTTTTTCTCTTTTAATTTTTTAAAGCTAACTTTTTTTGTTTCATTTTTCATTCGTAACCGAATCATCTCATGGAATGATGTGGTATTTTTCTTGTAGTTTAATATTTAATTATGTATTACTATTTCTAGTTTTATATTTAATGTAAAATTTTATTAATTAATATTGATGTAATATTTTTATATGTGTTAGTTATTTACAAAATTTTTATGAATTTTCAATAATTGTGACAAATATAAGGACTATAATGTAATATACAAATAATTTTGAAGTTAGTTTTGAAGTTTTTCTTTTGGAGAAGATCACTTTGAAACTTCAAATATAGAGTTTGTGAAACTCTAAAATAGAGTTCTTTTTTGGAGATGCTCTAAGAACATCCCCATTAGTGAACCTCCATTTAGGGTTCATAACATTTTTCTAATATATTTTTGTGGGGTTAGAGTTCTTCCATTAGTGAACCTAAAGTTAGAGTTCTTATGAATAAAAAAATAAATTTTTTAAATTTTTTTTTATTTAATATATTGAGAATTCATAAACATACAAAAATTATTCATCTTGATTACCAAACTTTTGCCAAATATTTGATTGCGAATGCCAAGCATATTACCTATAGTGGAAGGAGTGTCCGTAGAGTACGAGAAATCAACCTGGGAACTCATACTTGACTCTCCTATTACGAAGGCAGATGTATCATATTGAGTGTATCCATCTCGTTCGTTCTCCACTATCATATTGTGCAATATGACAAAAGTTCTCATAATCCTTCCTATCGTTTCTTTGTCCCATAGTAGAGCTGGGTTTTTAACTATTGCAAACCTAGCTTGCAAGATTCCAAAAGCACGTTCGACATCTTTTCTGGTGGATTCTTGACATTCATCAAATAACTCGGCTTTAGGACCTTGAGGAAGTGGGATCGATTGGATAAATGTTGACTATTTCGGGTAAATTCCGCCGGTAAGGTAATACGCCATACGATAATTGTGGCCGTTGACCTTGAAATTAACTTTAGGAGCTCGACCTTGTAAAATATCATCCAAAAACTGGTGACCGATCAAGAACATTAATATCGTTGAGGGTACCTGGAGATCCAAAAAATTGTGTGCCATATCCAAAGATCATGTGATGCCACAGTCTCTAAGACAATTGTCGGCTTTCCTGAACCACGTGTGTACTGACCTCTCCAAGCCGCTAACCAGAAACTAAGATTTACAAAACTCTCGTTATGGTGCTAACAACAATGGCTAACATCATGTGAACCAAACCATAGATACGGATCAAAGATCTAGTACAATAAACAGCTACGGATCAAAGATCTATTACAATAAACACATCATTCAGCTAAGATCACCGCATGCATAAACGATGAACTAAGAAAGAATCAACACTATTTCGGGAAACAAAGTAACTAATATATTTAAAAAAACTTCCTCAAACGAAAGCGATTAACTAACTTATAAAATGAGAAGCTGATGATCATGGAAATCGAGATATAAAAAAATTTATCTTAAAAGAACAAAATTTAGTACGATCTAGGTTTATACCTTTGAGTCGATGAGGAGCATTTTGAGACCCAGCAGCACCTTCGACTGAACATTTCGAGCCTCCCAATAGTGGATCAAACAAAACCGCACCTAACTTTCATGGGGTCCGAATCTGACGTTTCTGAAGGACATCACTTTGTCAACGTTTTCGGAGACAACGGCTTTCCCTCTGCTGACGGAGGAGGCAACAACTTTCCCCTTAACGCCGATGGAGAGGCCGGAAGACACACCCGTTTTCTCAATGAGTTTCGTCGACGCTTCGCCTTTTGCTTTCTTCAAGTTAGAATCACCAGATAACGCCAATTTGTCAGATGAGCTCATCGCCATATATTAATTAGTAGAGTTAACACAATTTTGTTTGGGGCAAGAACTAGAAGAAGAGCTTTATAAAGAAGCCAAGTAGGAGGAAAACGTAAAAAATCCATTAATTAGATCGAAGGGAGAAAATAAGTGGAGGGGTATTGATTGATAGTAGATGAGATTGATGAAACAGGATCGAAGAAGATGACATGTAAGGTTCACCAATCGGTACACTAAAATTAGGATTTTGATGAAAGGGAGAAGGGGGCTATCAAGGAAGACAGACCTAAGCTTGAGGACTGGATGATTGGGTTTAGTGGGCTTCGTCTTTAAAAAAACGGATCAAGCAAAAAAATTGAGATCAGTTTCGGAAATGGCTAAGTGACGTGGAGGAATGAAATAATCTCATTGATTAAATATATACACACGTGGACAACTTTCCAAGGCTGCATATTGCCCTTTTAATACTTGTGTGATTAAGGCGTTTTTAACCCCCTCCCCCATGATATTGTGCATTTTTTGGGAGTCCATTTCTTACTATAATCTATATTATTAAAATTGAATGACCTTTTGATACTGTTTGGAAATAAGGATATCAAATTAAATATTTTCTTTTATTTGCATATAGTAAAACCTCTATAAATTAATAATGTTGGGATTTTGATATTTTATTAATTATAGAGATATTAATTTACAAAAAATTTCTTATTTACATTTTTTTATTTTAAGATAAGAAAAATTGATTTTTATGTATAGACATTAATCATTATTTTTTAAAATTT